AATAAATTTGTGGTGTGGTTCGACCATATGTTTGAGGGTTTGGTAATCATAGGTACAATATTTATATAACCACACATTTGACAAACTTGAGAGTTGTCTTTTGATCATTTGAAAATGAACGATTCCTATTAAGAGATAATTCTATCTTTGGTTGTCTATTATCCTCCACTTTACTTTGAATTCCTCATGGTTCTCTTTTGTTACCACTAACTTGCATAGTATTCTCGGTTCTAGCAAGAATTTCAAATAATGGTATAGCACTCGTTGGGTGAATCTGATGATTTTAAGAAATTCCATGTTTCTTGATCATAAAAATGGTAGTACCATCTTAAGAGGATGTAAAGTGCATTAAGGGCTTTTCAACTAGATCTTTATATAGGAAAATATTTGATCACAGATCTCAACTTGAAGTTGATTAAGTGACAGAGTTGTGAGATGCAATAGACTTGGGGTCTTGAAAAACGAATGGGTGATCATTCGTGATGTGCTCATGGCAGCGTGTTTCTCTTAAGGAAAATATTCAAAGTGAATAAATACTCATCCATAATGTACTTAGTTTGAGATCTAAGTGAAGTTTGCGACATATAAAATGAATATGTACATATTTAGCTATCAAGAGAATAGCCATGGCATTTTTAGAACAGGGGGTTAGTCACTACAAAATAACAACCAAAAAAAAATGATGTGGATCTTGTGATAGTGCTTCAGACACTCAATCTTTGCTATAAATTATGGTCTCCACCTTGATGTATGGACCACAATATCATCACAAATAGTAATATTTGTGTAATTTTCCACAACTTATTCAAGCAAAATGATGCTTAAATAATTGATACCGGAAGAAAAATGCCATTTTAGCATGTAAGATCAATATTATTATTATTTTACTATGATAGTAAATAATTTTAGTGAACAACAATAATTGCTTCAAAGGAGCAAATTTTATAATAGCTAATGCTATACACTCATATGTGTAGACCTCAATTTATATAGAATAACACTTTGAAGATAATCACCGGATGCGGTGTAGATCTCGCAGTAATAGAAACATAGCCTGACTTTTGTCAGTAGATGTTCATAATTCTATTACCTTATGTTATGCAAAATGTATGAAATCACTTTGAAGGTAATCATCTATCAAAGTGACATGATGTACACCCTGTAGTAATAGTGGATAGTCTGCAAAATTTGCAGTAGATGCCAGTATTACCTTATGATATCTTGAGGTAGTCACATATAATATTAATATTTGGAAGAGCCCTAGGAGGTAGTCATCTTGTTAAAAAGACAAGATGTAGACCTCAAAGTGGTGGTGGATAATCTGCAAGTGGTGCAGTAGATGCCACCAATACCTTGTGATTCACAAATAAAATTTGGGCTGGTCACATTTATATTTCGAAGAGCACATCGAAGGTAGTCATCTTATCAAAATGACAAGACGTAGACCTCACAGTAGTGATGAATAATCTGCAAATTGTGCAGTAGATACCATCAATACCTTGTGATTCACATTTTTTATGTAGTCATATTAAGTATGACACCTCGTAATCCTTGTTTCGGATTTACGCCAAGATTTGCAAGAGAGAGAAACAAATTCAATTGCAAAACATAATTGTTTCACTAAAATAAACATGTTATATGGATTGCTTGAAAAACAAACAGATTTAACATGTAACAGATTCTAGAAAATTTGTCTAGAATAATCATTTACATATAGTAAATACGATACATAGATTGAACTCCATAATAATTAGATCTGAGGATCCAAGAAGAAAGTCTGTTGGGTAATCTGTAGTTGTTACGGCCTGAAAAATTATTTCAGAAATCCCAGTTGCACAGACGTAAAGTACAGTATAGTCTGTGGCCTGAAGATGTACTATAGATACTAATATGTGAATACTAGGAAGTTGGAGAACCAAACCGAAAATCGCCAGAATGGATAAGGTTGCTCCAATCTTCTTCTCGTGCGGTTCCTGAGGGGAAAATTACCGCCGTCGGCGGCGGACACGAGGGCTCGCCGGGCCAGGGAGAGGATCCAGGCGCCACCAAACCTCGTACGCGAGGACACCGCCGTTGCTCGGACTTGAGCGCGGGCCACCTCCACCGCGTGATGCGGCTGCTCTGTGGAGAGCCGGGCCGAGGCCCGCTCGGAGGAGCGGCGTGTCGTGGCTGTGGTGTCCGCCGCGCCCGGAGGACTGATGCTTCTGCGACCGTCCTCGACGAGGTTGTTGCCGCTACAGTGATGGCGAGACGGCGAGACGGTGAGCAGCAGTGGCCGCTAGTTCCAGTTCAAGAAATTAGAAAAAGACATGGTACCTTCTTCTTCCCTTTGCATGACTGGATGATACGTTCTTGATTGAAGCTTTCTCTTCCTGATCAAGGATTTCTTCCGGTTGATGCTTCAGCCACCTATTCATCTCGCCATGCTCACATGCTCGGATGAAGCGATGCACTATGTGGTGCAGAAAATGCAGTTAATTTCGAGATCACTGGAAGAAAACAAATACTTAATTACTAAATGGAATTAGTGTTTCCTGATCGATTTCTCTTATGGCTGTTTTAGGCGTTCGTGCCGAGAGGAGCCAGGCCGAGGGGAGCGTCGTTGCGCCGATGCGCGCCACTGCCTCCTGTCCCGCAGCGGGCTGCAACGATGAGACTCTGTGCGCGTGCCGGCCGGAGGGTGTCGCTGCAGAGGGTGGTCGGCCATGGCCATATCCTCCGCGCCGTCGATCTGCGCGGATGTGAGCCTTTTCTTGTTCTGCTCTTTTTGTTTGTAGTTCAAGAATGATCAATTCTTCGTGAGATTCGTGTGAGCGCATATATACTATTAGTTTTCCTATCAACAAGATGTGTTCTTCATCCTCTGCAATGATGTTCTGCTCTTCTCTTGTCCGGCCAAATCGCTCGATAGGAGAGCAAAGTGCATGATAACGTGTTTTGAGTGAAAAGTAAAGAACGAGAGAGTTTAATGAAAGATGATCCATCAGTCTTTATTGATGATAGAAGTGGGGTATTTATACCCAGGCGGAAGTACACATGGTGCTTGGCGGTCAAGTAAAAACATAGTTACTTGAGAGCCAAGGAATTACATAGTTGCCTTGAGAACCAAGGAAGTACATGGTTGCTTGAGAACCAAGCAACCTATCTAACAATTAACTTAATCCTAATTAGCTTAATTAATAAGCAACTATTCTATTCTTAACACTTTTCTCCCAACGATCTCTTTTTGTCTCTAGCGATCCCACGTGGCACGCGCCATCGACCGCCCCATCTGCACACGTTAGTGCTTCTCGATTTTTTTTGGAAGGGGTATGGCGGTAGGCCCAGTTGGCCCATCTACAACGGCCGAGGGCTGGTTATCACCGGGCCTGCGCACTCCGGACTCCCGAGCCGGATCGGAGACAAAGAACGCACCTGAGAATTCAAAGACCCACGATCCCGGCCGACTCGGTACCCGGATGAGAAGCTATAAATAACCCAGTTCCCGCTCTATGTTCACCATAATCAAAGAGCCTCCGCCACATACCCACATCCACATCCGTAGATAGCTTGGAGGCCATGGACTTCAGCAAGTCGGATCTCGCGGAACCGAAGGCTGCGGTGACGAAAGCCGAGGAGGCGCCGAAGGCTGGAGCCAATGACAAGGGGAGAGTGATCGTCTTCAAGAACGGGAAGAAGATGAAGCTGGTCAGACACATAGTAGCCGGAAACGGGGAACGGTAGGCCGTCCCTCGATCCCGATTCATCGACCCGGAATCGGATTCGGGAACGAGGTCGGATTCGGTACGATTCGATGAAGATTCGGCGTCCCCGCAGCCTGCTCCTCGATTCAGGTTTCAGGATCCAACAGCCAAAACGTGAGGCATAATTTACTCACGATGTCGTTTCTTTTCTCAAGAACTCCTCATTCTTCCTCAAGTCCATTAATTGCAAGGGATCCATTAACAACAAGGAATGCTGACCGTCAGGGAGTCGTCGTTCTTCAAAAACTGCGTTCCTCGACCCATGATACCGTACCGGGTTCATCGTATCCAAATGGATTGGATCGCGTCCTCACTATAAAAAATTCGTCTAAGAGATGTATACCCTCGTTGTACCCTATTTTTTTCAGCCACCGACTCTCGTCCCTCGTTCCCGTTCCTTGCTCCCACCGTACCGGAAACATGGCAACTATGGTCAGACAGGAGTACATCAACTCGCTCATGGCGCTCCCGCCCCGCAAGCCCATCCGCCCGGTCGACCACGAGCGTATCGACAGCTGGACCGCCGTCGACCCTGAGATCCGCGAGGCTTATCGCCGTTCCGTTGTCGCCCTCTTCAAGTCCCTGCAGGCGGCGCGGGACTGCGAGGACGACATCCTTCGGCAGTATGAAGCCACGGGACATGCTTTTGTTGAGTATGACGACGACGAGGAGGATGATGATATGGCCGCGGGACAGGCCTTTGTCGAGTATGACGACGACGACGATGATGATGACGATGACAAGGAGCTCTAGATTTGGTTACTGATGTTATCGTTACCTGAGTTGTTGATGGGACTCTGTTGTAGTTGTTTAAAAATATTATAAAATATATTTTGAACTGTTTAAACGTCATATATTTCATGTCCACAGGCTCATGCAAGACTGAACCGGGCCCAACAGCGCTTCAGCTTGAAATGTGCATGAACTAGCTTGCATACAGATCAAACATAAAGTACACCATGATCGCCTGAAAGACTTATACGAGTATACCACAGGTTAAAAGAGAACACATAGCAACATTGCCCACAAAACTGTTGAACATTGTTGCTGTCAATTCAGCATGGGTTCGCTGACACCAGGTGCCCACAAAACCAACGAAAGGAGAACTAGAAATGCACCCACAGATGGAGCTTTGATAGCATTATTAATTTGTGCAACTAAAAAAACGTCACCGGCTCATAACCTTCGAACAGCAAAATCCTTCCAAAGAACCGCTCCCATGTCAAAGTACTGAGCCGACAGCAATGCCACTCAAGGTCACTCCTTTTTCCCGATTCCGTGAGACATGTTGTAGACACCACGGCCCTATTCGCACAACATGATACACGTCACCAGCTAAACGGAAACAAGAGAACAGAAAAAACAATTACAATCATTGATCATGAACAGACAAAGCTCCAAACATACAATCATGAATAGGCTTGATGCAGCGAGCGCGAGGGGGATGCCAACGGAGGTGATCGCATCGTAACGCCCTTTCAGGTGAGTGTGCTTGCTCAAGCTCTGGAAATACTGCTGCTGCTTAAAAAGCCTTTCACGCGGCAAAAACGGTGATTCCGTCATCTGCATTAGTGCATCACGCGAAACGGAGCTATGACATCTTGTAGCAAAATGTTTTAAACGATAATGTCTTATGCAGATATTGAGATAGAACTAATAAGCATATATGTAACGGGAAATTCGAGTATAATCCATGATATCAAGGGCTGGTGTCATGACTGAACCTTATATCGTCAGATCGGAAAGAAGAAGGCGTGCTAAGTATGAAATGAACCAGTCGCACATTACAAAATGAAATTCTGTCCAACAAAATGCCAACATATACTCAAAGATTACGCTTCTGCGACTTGGACACAAACATTAACTACTAATTGTATACCCCGCATCCACCAGCGTCGTCATGCATGTACCAGACTGGCAATGCCATTCCAAATCAAAATGTGTCCACCCGTTCTAATTTCCAAGGATTTGAGATCGCGCCAGGGATGCGTGGCACCAGAATCCCATGTGTGCCCAGATGGTCAGAAATCACGCATGGACGAACGGTACCAGCGGCCCAGCGGCTAAGCTCCTACAGGCCGGCCGGCGCCGGGGGTCGTCGAACCAATGTCGATTAGATCCCAGACGCAGGCGGCGATCAACGTATCACGCGATAGGTTAGGTCACGCATCGCCTATGAACCAACAAGGTACAAACCGCGCGCGCGGACGGCATGCCTGCGCATCGCATCACGTCGCCGCGGTTTCGAGTCACGTGAGCAGATCGCAAACATCGATCGAGAACGTGGCGAGGCGTGACAGGGGGCGGAGGAGGAGAGCGCGCACCTTGTCGAGGAGGAGGAGGACGACGATCCTTGCGAGGGTTCGGGGGGAATGGAATGGTGGAGGAGGAGTTGGGGGGAATGAGATAGACGGGAGAAGAGAGGACGAGAGATAGACGGGAGAAGAGAGGACGAGAGCAGCACCGCTTATGGGCCTAAAAATAGTACTCGGTGTGAGATGCGACCCATTCAACGTGCGAACTGGGCTCATTAGTTGCTCCTCCTCCGGGAGGTTCTATTCATGGGCCAGCCCAGGTAGCTGCCATATTCGAAAAAAAAAACCCAGCTCGCTGCGGTTTGCAGAGATCATCAAGGCAACTACATGGGGAGTTCGGCATTGGTCATTGCTGGAGTGGACGACCCGGCTATTCTGAAGACAATTGCATGTCGAGAAGCACTTGCGCTGGCGGAAGATCTCAACCTTAACAATCTGATCATCGCTTCCGATGCTAAGCAAGTAGTCAATGATATTTCAAAAGCACATAGGGGCAGGAACGCTGCAATTGTTCAAGAGATTAAAAGTAGAGCTTCTTCTTTTTCCTGTAATTTTGTGTTTGAAGGTCGTGCGGCTAATAGAGACGCACATAAACTTGCCAAATATTCACTCTCACTAGGGCCGGGGCGCCACATCTGGTTAGGCCAACCCCAGGCTCCGACTTGTATCCCACACTCTGTGGAATTTGATGAATAAATTGGCTTTTTCCCCTTAAAAAAAAGCAGCCGCTGGCTCGGATATCGGTAAAAAAATTGTTGGCTCAGACTTTTTGAAAGATTTATATATGCGCTGTTGCAAAACCATATTTATTTATTTATTATTAAAAAAATCATATTTTTTAAAAAAGATCCATGTAATATAAAAAACTGTTTTTGTATTACGAAAAAAGGAAACGAGAAATTGATATTAGAAAAAGGGAGAAAATAAAAACCTCAGAAGAAAATTCGGTATAAAACATAAAAGAAAAATATCGGAGGAAAATCGTCGAGAACCAGCTACAGCTCAGTGCTGAACTTTTTTGTTCTGAGACAACCTCGTGAAGCTTTCTATTAATTTTGTCACAATGTTTAGAGTTTGAACAGCTTGAGCAATCAATACTAGTGTTTTCAGGCCCATGGGGGGAACCTTTCTTTTGTGTTCCTCTCGAAGAGGGGAATACAACACTTCAATTAATTTTCCAAATTTATGTTGCCGTTTGAGGGTTGGCCTCGGAGATGCCCTTATTCCTCCAACTAATATCGTGTAACTTCTGTCCTCTAGTGTTTTAAGAAAAACCTCAAAGTGATTCGTGAGTGCTGAATGTTCAGAAACAAATTTAAACGATTCGTCACCTATACCTGGGCCGCAATGCCAAACATATCTTCATGATTATCATCAATTTCTAGAAAACTCAAAATTCTAGAACACCAACAATTTAGTTTTTAATAAAATTGCCTAATTTTAACTATTTTATTTTTATTTCATGGCCTAAATTTTTTTTATAAAGATTTATACATTAATTTTCTGGAGTATTAATTTAAGATACATTTTATAGATTTTGTGAGTAAAGTATAGATTTTATAAAGGTGACTGATGACCATGAAATATGCAGTGTTAAATGCTTAATGCCATCTATTAAATAATATCACATGTCCTTACAAACACACTCATACATAAAAGTAAAATGGCATTCAAATCTTTGGGATAAGATGATTTTGTTAGTCGAGGGAACAATTTAGATGGTGTATTAGAGTTTAGAGCATCTATGGCTGGACTTGGCAAATCCGACATGCACACTCTATACGCCCAGACACGCTCGCGGATGCAGCCGAACAACCCCTCATATGTCGTGCCCGACAGTCACATACCTCAAACTCGAACTCTCAAATACATGCAAATTCATGCACGTACATCATACACGCTAATGTCGCACGTAAATAACAAATATTGGTACCAAAAATATTTAGTTCTTACATAAAATTTATTTTAAGTGCACAACTCAAACATTAGCTCTTTAGTTTTCGTTGTGGGTCCACATAAGCTTTACAAGATCACTGAGTAGTGTGTGCACCTGATGATCTCAAAAGTTCTGATGCATATGCACAAAGTTCATAAGCTGATTTCCATTTTGATCTTCCGGGATTTGAACGTGTTCTCCATGCGCTTCACAATCATTGGTTTGAGTTACACCATAACCCTCATTCTCGACAATCATATTGTGCAAAATAACACAACATGTCATCAGCTGCCATAAAGTTTCTGATTCCCACATCATTTCAGTTTCGCGAACAATTCCCCAACGAGCTTCAAGCACCTCAAACTGTTGGGGAACGTAGTAATTTCAAAAAAAAAACCTACGCACACGCAAGATCATGGTGATGCATAGCAACGAGAGGGGAGAGTGTTGTCCACGTACCCTCGTAGACCGAAAGCAGAAGCGTTAGCACAACGCGGTTGATGTAGTCGTACGTCTTCACGATCCGACCAATCCAAGTACCGAACGTACGGCACCTCCGAGTTCAGGACACGTTCAGCTTGATGACATCCCTCGAACACCGATCCAGCCGAGCTTTGAGGGAGAGTTCCGTCAGCACGATAGCGTGGTGACGGTGATGATGATGCTACCGATGCAGGGCTTCTCCTAAGCACTGCTACGATATTATCAAGGTGGAATATGGTGGAGGGGGGCACCGCACATGGCTAAGAGATCAAGAGATCAATTGTTGTCTATGGGGTGCCCCCCTCCACCGTATATAAAGGGGGGAGGAGAGGGTCGGCCAAGTGGAGGAGGTGCGCCCAAGGGGGGCAATCCTACTCCAAGTAGGATTCCCCCCTCTTTCCTAGTCTAAGTAGGAGAGGGGAAGGAAGGGGAGGAGAAGAAAAAGGAAAGGGGGGCCGGCCCCCTAGTCCAATTCGGTTTGGGCTAGGGGGGCCGCGCGCCCCTAGCTGGCCGCATCTCCTCTTCCACCACTTGGGCCCATGAGACCCAATAGCCACCCGGGAGGTTCCGGTAACCTCCCAGTTTCTCCGGTATTTATCCGATAACCCCCGGAACTCATCCGGTGTCCGAATATAACATTCCAATATATCAATCTTAACGTATCGACCATTTCTAGACTCCTCGTCATGTTCGTGATCACATCCGGGGCTCTGAACTACCTTTGGTACATCAAAACACAAAACTCATAATATCGATCGTCATCTAACTTTAAGCGTGCGAACCCTACGGGTTCGAGAACTATGTAGACATGACCGAGACACATCTCCGGTCAATAACCAATAGCGGGACCTAGATGCTCATATTGGCTCCTACATATTCTACGAAGATCTTTATCGGTCAAACCGCATAACAACATACGCTGTTCCCTTTGTCATCGGTATGTTACTTGCCTGAGATTCGATCGTCGGTATCTCAATACCTAGTTCAATCTCATTACCGGCAAGTCTCTTTACTCGTTCCGTAATACATTATCTTGCAACTAACTCATTAGTCACAATGCTTGCAAGGCTTATTGTGACGCCCGGAAAATCATGCTACAGTAATCCCACGCTAATCATGCCACGTCACCTCGGTTACTGTTGCTAACCTCGCGATGATTCGAAACCGTTTTAATATTTAAATTCAAAGTAGGTCAAACAACAAAAGTTTTCAAAAGTTGAAACAAAAATGTTCGGGCGGTGCTGAATATTACAAGGGTAATTATGGTGTAGTAAACACATTTTTATAAAATGCCTAAATAACTTAACATGATTTAAAAACAGAAAAGTAAATAGATAAAAGAAAAGAAAATGCAAAACCAAAACAAAAAAAAGGAGAGAACCCCCCACCCACTGGACCAGGCAGCCCACCTCCTCAGGCCGGCCCACCTGGCCCAACCGGCCGCGCCCCCACTCCCTTACCCTCTCCCCCCACTTCCCCTAACCCTAACCGAACAGCCACTCCCCCCCCACTCGCTTTCCCCTTCCCTCCACGATCCAGATCGGATCGTGGCCCGACC